GAAAGCCTCTGACTTTTGTGTGTTGATTTTATAACCTGCTACCTTGCTAAACTGGTGGATGGTTTTGATTAGGAACTACTTGTTTTTTAAGTGCTTAATTTGTAAGATATAAAAACAAAGAAGAATCTAAACTGTTTATTTCCTTTAAAATATTAAATAAAAATAAGGGGCCTTGCTGATGGCTCAAGGGTAAAAGCACAGCACTATGAAGCTATCTGCAGTCACTACAGCACAAGTTCAGTCCCCAGTCAAAGAGGCGACGTACATGGTGCAACAGACCTCTCCTGTCTCAGCCACTGTTCCCCTCAGCAGTGTACTTCATCAATATGTCTGTTTTGTTCCCCACTCTGTCTCTGGGGAATCCTCTCACCCCCCTAACTTCTGGCCTGTGCCTCAGTTCTTGAATGCACAAATAAATCTTTTTTAAAAAATGAAATAGAAGTGAAGAAGTAGGTTATACACTAACACAAAATAACATTACTTATATTAGAAAAACATCTTGGGGTTGTAAAAATAAGTAGGTGTTGGGCTCTCCCTGGTGGCGCAGCAGGTTAAAACACAGCACAAAGAAGCTTAAGCCACTTTTGCATGAGTTCGATCCCCGCCTGCCCCGGAGGAGATCCACATGGCAAGGCAGACCTCTCCTGACCCGCCCGCTGCTCCCCTCAGCAGTGTACGTCGTAGATCTGCCTGTTCTGCTCCCATCTCTGTCTCTGGTGAATCCTTTCACCCTCCGCATCTCTGGCCTGTACCCCAGTTCTGTACGAATAAATAAGTAAATCTTCAAAAAAAAAGTAGGTGCCTAGCACCGTGTTCAATAAACATCTGCATGTACAATACTTAGCTAAATTTGAAGACAGAGCCCAGACTCCTTAGTAATACACATAAAACAATTCTCATTGATCTTTCCTTAAAAAATAAAAAGTAATGCATATAAATGTGATATTTTAAAGCAATGGGCCTATAAATTTAAAAAATGTTAGTCATTCATCAGAACTTATACAGTATATACTTTTTTGAACTTAGACAAGCTAAGACTTAGACAAGCTTAGACTTCCTCAGAATCAGCATATTCAAAACTGAACTGAATATCTTGCACCCCATTCATCCAAGTCTAGTTTTCTCTGGCTCCTCCTTGTTTCTCACAAACATACCAATGGTTTACCTAGCCCTTGCTTTGGATGTCTCCCCATCAAGTATTTCCACCTAGCCCTGCCATTCACATGGTTTCCTCAAAAGACACTGAATTATGAATAAATAGACTTTAAAAACTAGGTTGACTGCATGGTTCACTGTGGGTAGCCTTCCTGGAGTGGAAAATTGACTTGGAGTTTCCACAAGTCTCTATGGGAAGGGTGAATGTACAATGAAGAACTCCTAGAAGATCTAACTCCTTTCAGTCCCTATTAGTGCCTTAAAGGGTGACTATAAATGCAAGCCATAACATTTTGGGTTCATACCTAGTATGTCCCTTCTCCCATCATTTAATAGTTCCCTATAGAAGCTTAAATGCAGTGCTCATTTCCAATATGGATAGAAAACAAGTAGTGAGATATTGTGTTGAATGGGAATCCTACACCTCGCCCCCCTCCAAATATATATGTCCTAGCCTTAGGATTCTATGAATATGACCTTATTTTGGAAAAGAATTTGAAAGAGTGATTACAGAATTTGACCTAGATTTTGGTCATAAAGTCAAGGATAAATGCCCTTATAAGAGACAGAAAAGGCAGAGACACAAACACAGGCACATACATACATACAACACACCCTCACAGATATAGAAAACCATGGAGGCATTGGTTGAAATGATGCAATCCAAAGCTACAGAATGCTTGGAGTGACCAAAAGCTGGAAGAGGCAAGGAAGGACTCTTCCCTAGAACCTAGAGAGAGAGCACTGCTTAGCCCGATTTCCTTAATAGTAACAATAAATGTCTGTTGAAATTCAGTTTGTGGAAACTTACTACAGTGCTCTGTAGGACTCTAATAATGCCATGTCACAATTCCTTAATACTTCAGCTTCCCAGCCTACTTCCACTTCCAGTCCATGTAGTGACTAATGATAGCAATCATGTCAATTTTCAGTATACTGATCCCATTAATGTCTGCAACTCAGGCAATGCAAAAAATAGTTTAAAATCATGAAGGAGGCTCTCCCTGGTGGCACAATGGGTTAAAGCATCGCATTATGAAGCCCTCAGAAGCCACTGCAGCATGAGTTCAATCCCCCACCTGGGGCTGACCTACATGGTGTGGCAGAC